GCTGTGTCCTGTCGCCCATTCTATTTAACTACACCATTGACCGGATTCTCGGGAAGGCCATACTTGAAGATAAAGATATTGAGCTTACACCCCGACGCCGATTTACCGATATCGACTCTGCTGATGATATCGCTTTACTTGCCTCACGCTTTAACGCTGTATAGTTTATCGTGTCACGGGTAGACGAGGCCGCTAAATCGGTCGGTTTGTTCATAAACGAAAGTTCGCGTGTACTACGCGTCTCTGTGGTCTGTCCTTCTCTACGGTTGTGAATGCTGAATTATGCGTCTGGAAGATGAAAGGAAACTGCAGATATTTGAGCACTTCTACTTGAGGATAATCCTTCGAGTGAAGTACACCGACTTCGTCTCAAATGAGACAGTCGGCACTCGGTGCGGCGACAACACAAGGATATTTCAGGCCATCCAAGAAAGACGGCTAAGGTGGTTTGGACACGTTCTTCGTCGTCAACCTCAATAATTTAGCGTTACTTCCCTCGATCCGAAACTGTTATCTCATTAGAAACGTCGAAGTGAATTGACAATCCATGTGCAAATGTACAGTGTTTTTATGCAGGCAGCCGGAAATAAACTCAATAAAATGTCAGCGTCTTGGCGTGACTAAAATATTGTGAGAGTATGTTGCACGGTAATCAATTGAACAACTCCATTCCTTTCTTATCGGGAACGCCTTTCAGAATTTTGGTTAACTTTTCATGAGATAACCCACCGATCACTGTTGCGTACCTGATACATGTAGTTTTTCCTCAAACGAATTGCGTATCTGAGCGCATTTGTTCCCTCGTTTGAACTAATTAGCATAGTGATCTCTGATGGCTAATGGTCTTTCTTCTTTATCTCTAACTCCCCATACCCATCTTCCAGACATCTGATGCTTTCTATCTCTACTCGCCTCACCTCCTCGCAGTGGGACCTAGTGGTAAACCACATTGAGGAGGTTTTTCGCGTCTGTCTATTCCCTCTGCACACCCTCACCACAGTTCACGAGACCACCGCGCGACGCTCACCCACCTCCGTGCCTGTAGGGGACACCAGCGGCCTACAGGTGTCCAACTTGCGCCCGGTGACCACAGCTTCGGAGAGCGAGGGACGCGATCGTTTGCGCCAGTTGACCCTGCATATTTTCCAGTTGAATGAACAGCGTCAGGTGTACGTGGAGGATGCATTTGCCGATGGGGCAGACTGGGTGCCATCCTCGGAAGATGCTGACGGCAGCGTGGCCCCTTCACAGACCCACACGTTTGACCTCTCCGTGTATCCTCTGTCTACGTGCTCGCTGGAACGGCCCCCTGTTGAAACGTAGGTTGCCTCATGGTCTGCGTATGCTCCATGTCACTTTTTCTGTTCTCGATAAGCACCAAGGTAACGCGAGGCAGTCACTGAGCCCGTCAGAATAGAGACTGCTTTATGGCAAGAGTTTTAGGATACATGTACAGGCTATCAGAATTATATCCTCTCTATGTTGGTTGAAACTCCCTTCGGTTTTTGGCTTATTGAAAGAGAATCAATGCGGGCGGCTATTTTACCTCCTTCTCTAGAGGAGACGAGAGTCTTCTTCTAGCCGCTAGCCACTTGTTTCATCTGCACGTGTGGCTGCAAATGGAACTGCCTTCGGTGAAGGCGAACTGGGAAATATGCGTGTCCTTGGATCTGACAAATAAACTGTCGTTGAAAACGTAGCGGTAATGTCTCGTGCGTGGCTGGGCAGTGGTCTTTTAGATCGGTTGCCCACCCAAACATGATAAGTCATCGTGGCATTACAAGCTGAAATATGTTATCGACAATAAACTGTGAGTTCACCAATTGTAATATCTTGCGCCCGGTATGCCGAAGGCGCGGACTGAGCTATCTATCCTCAAATTCAAATACTACAAGAAATTGTCTCTTCATCTAGTTCGTCTACGCCACATTGTTCGCAATTCACCGCTTAACCTAGTTTTCGATGGCCCGAGGACTGTGGTCCATACATTCGGGTTATACATGTCGAGGACTTTTTGCGTCGATATTGAGCTACATCGTTCGTCATGTGTCCGGGATTTCTGTGGGCATCTCGCTTTCATCCTCGAAAGATCATCTTAAAGGCCCCTTCTTTATCCCCACTGTGATTAACGTCAGTCAGATGTTTTTTTTGACTGAAACGAGAGCATGTCAGTTTTTGCTACTGCCTAGCTGTATTTGATTTTAGACATTCTGTTCCGTTAAAAGGATAGTAGTAAATAAAGTAGCTGACCTGTCTCATTAAATGTTAACTGAAATCAGAAATTGTTCTTTGAATGAGAAGTCGTTACTTATTTAGATTACTAATACTTATTGCCTTCAGAGGAAGAAGATGTGATCACTGGAACAAGAGTGATCGCATCTTCTTCCTCTGAACTGCTTCCTGGGACTCGAATATTCTCTACTATTGGCAACTTATTACCTTGCAGCATAATCCCAAGATATTTCAGTCACGGCAGGATGCCGGTTTTTAAATAAGTTTACTACTTGAATTATATGGGCGTTATTTAAAATGCGGGAAGTTAAAAGCTATAAACTGGTAAAAAATAGAAATCAAGGAAATTGGCTAGATATTATAGGTGAACTGATCCTAGCCCGGATAGAAACTCGCATTGAAGGAGCGTGTTTAATCCAGATATCGTTAAATCTGACTCTTGTGATGGCCTCGAATGAAGATGGCAACATTCATAGTCTAACTCTAAATCTTAATTCTAAATCCTTGACCCTAGGCCCTTCATCCTAGCCTTAAACCTTTGCCCTAACCTATAACCCCCTAAGC